GAGCAAGTTCCAGGACAGTAGGGACTACGCAGAGAAACCCTGTCTCGAAAAGAACAATACAAAAAGACATGTATGTGAGAAGGGATCCTCTGGGGAGGAGGAGGAAGAATGACAGGGTGGGGGAGGGAGATAAAAAAGGGTGGGGGTTGGAAGTCAACAGAATGCCCTAAGCACACATTAAATTGTCAATGAACAAATTTAGCCAATTAAAATCTGATAAGCCAGCAGGGCGGTGGTGGCGCACGCCTTTAATCCCAGCACTCGGGAGGCAGAGGCAGGCAGATCTCTGAGTTCAAGGCCAGCCTGGGCTACAGAGTGAGTTCCAGAACAGGCTCCAAAGCTACACAGAGAAACCCTGTCTCAAAAAACAAAACAAAACAAAACAAAACAAATCTGATAAGCCTAGCTGTGAGTTGGAGAAGGGATCAAAGGGAGCCTAAAACAGCCATCCATAGATCCATGTGGGGGTGTCACATTATTCTAGAGCTGAGTGGCAGCTTTCACAAGGAAAAAGTGGAAGCTGCTGAAGAGCCCTTTGCATTCTGTAATGGAGAGGGTTGGTGGGACATGGAAAATAAAAGGACACATCAAGGTATTTTGCTGGGTCCTTAGCTGACTGGGGAAAGCCGTACAAAGTCTTTGGGGAGGAGCCCTGGAGACGACCAGAACTGTAGTGAGGACAGTGAACTCGACCTATGTGAAATGGAACCACAGGTGCACAGGAGAGATAAGACGTAGGAAGCAATGTGGGCCCACTTGAAAAGGGTGTGTGCAGGGAGGTGACAAATGAAGCCATTACTGATCAGGAGAGAGAGAGTGTGAAGATCCTAGAAATAGAGATTGAGCAAATGTAGTTTATGCTTAGGTGAAGGTTAGCATCTGCTGTTCACTATAACTGTAACTCATCATCAAACATAATGCCTCACTTCTGTCCCCAGACACCAAGCAAAACCTCCCAAATACCCTAAGAAAGTAAGCAGAGAACATCACCCTGCCCTTTCTCCACCTTGGAGGGACCTTTGTGGAAATACCCTCTCCTTCAGTGCTCTAAGTGGATACATGAGACTACTGGTAATCTCCATCCATGCAGTCATCAGTCAATCCATCCCAGGACTGTTCCTCCTTCAAAATCTTTAACACTAAGGTTCATTTCACTGAGTGAAATGTCCATTCCTCATTTTCTTTCATCCATACTCTTTCTGAAATCTGTTTCGCATCATTTTCACAAAGCCAGTCTCCCTTCCCACCGAGTTCTTACCATGGGCTTGCCTGGCTTCATGATGTTCTTACCTGCATCTCGGGTTCCACTGACCTGTTGACCCTCGTCTACATCCTCGTTGCCCAAGCCCAACTGTGAGTGTGCTTGGCCATGGCTTTTTCTCAAGTGTTCTCTCCCCAGACAGCTGGACAATACTAGGGAAACTCATATGATTGTATGGATTGTCCCTGTGGCAGGTAATTATGGCACAGCATCAGCATTGCTATTGTGGCCTCAGTTAACCGGTCATGTCCATGGCTCCAGATTTTACCGTGAATTATAATCATCCATCTCTTTGGGGCTGGACCCCCAAGGACTCTGAGTACATTTGATCATCTGGATCCCACCATGATTCCTTCTCCACAGCAGGCATATGCCCCTCCTAGGCCCCTCTAGCTCCCACTGCCAGCCTTCCAGCACAGCTGATTTCTTCCCCGGGATCCCATAGGAAAACAGGTAAAGCTCATCGGCTATGATTCTTTTCATGTCCCTCCTTCTCAAACATGTGGCCCAGTTCTGTTTCTGTGTCCTCTCCCTTTCTTCTTCTTGCAGTGAACCCCCTTTTGGCACTCTGATCCAGCCTCCAGGGACTCCAGTCAGTTAACATTCCCCTCACCTCCTTTCTTTCCTAAACTGGCTCTTATCCCAGGGTCCAAAACAAACCCGAGTTTCTCCTATGATGAAAACATTCTTTCAAAGTTGTTTTACTTCAAATTACCATTTCATCTGGCTGTTCCATTTTTCCCCTCATTTTTTTTGGAGGGGGAGATAAACTTTTCTGAATATAAAATCATATTAACTCAAAAAAGCTATAAACATTTAAAGTAAAACATCAAAATCTCACAACCAATGGCCTCAGAATTGGAATAGGACCCCTATAGGATTCTCATTAGTAGATATGTATAAATATTTTTCCTCCTAAAAGTGAGACATTTACTTGATCAAACCAGTTTAAATTCTGGTATGTATATGTGTGGGTGTATATGTGTAAATATAATATATATATATATACATATGTATATGTGTTTATATAAATGCTATATATTCACACACACACACACACATATGACAGAAGATCTGAGGCTTTCTTCTGCCCTCCATGTACGCTCCTTAGGTACAGGCAAACACACACATATTTAAAAACAAACACTTTGTACATGTGCATATTAAGCAATAATACAAACCTCTACAAAGTCCTGTAAAGGTAGATAGGAATGCATTATAGGATTTCATTGTAGTGTTGTTTTTCCCTACAGAGTGAACAAGACTACTTATAAAAACAGATGACTGGAGTACTGTAGGTAGCCACAGCTCATTGCAAACACAATTATTGATGTTTTTGATGTAGCATATTAATATGGTCTGAACAATACCCATTATATCCCTTATCTTACAATATGAACATTTTTCTTATTTCCTTTTCTTATTGTTTTATTTGAAATCATTACAGAAGTAATAAATCAATAATGAAACCAACATCCTTATATGGTTCCTTAGTTTAAACACAATGTCTCTGGTACATCCACCATTCATACTTCTATTAGCATGCTAAGAGTTTTTGTTAATTTCTAAGACATACACTCATTTATTTATCCAGATAAGTCTCACTGCTCAGCTCTGGTTGACCTGGATCTCAATATGTAGTATAGTTGGGAAGTCACAGAGCTCTGCCTGCCTCTGCCTCTTGAGTGTTGGGATTAAGGGTATGTTGTACACCAGCATGCTTGAAACCGAAGACATTTAAATAAATATATTTGTATATTTTCCATCTCTCTCTCTCTCTCTCTCTCTCTCTCTCTGTCTCTGTGTGTGTGTGTGTGTGTGTGTGTGTGTGCGTGCGTGCGTGTGTGTGTGTGTGTGTGTGTGTGTGTGTGTGTGTGCTACATGTATGAGGATGCCCTGAAAAGTCAGAAGAAAGTGTCAGGAAGTTATAAGCAGTTGTGAGCTGCCTGTTACCGGTTTTGGAAACCAAACCCAGGTCCTCTGAAAAAGCAGAACAAATTCTTTCCTTTAAAAAAAGCATATTTTATGTACTTTATTATTTAAAAACACTTAAAATTTTTCAAGTTAGCAGTAAAATATTGGCTGCAATATTTTACTAATTAGCACTATATACGTTTTAAAGCTAACTAACATTGTTTCACTGCACATGATTGTAAAGTAAGAAGCTCATCTCAAATGTCAAACTAGTCTCAACATGTGGTCATTAAATCATTATTTTTGGCTCCAGGCACAAATATTTATTTTTAAAACTAATTTAACTACATTAACATTTGTCAATCTAACAAAATCAAAGTATTATAGTTTAAAGTAGCATTTAACCTCTGAAATTATTCTAAAAAGAAGACACATAAAGAAGTTGAGAAATCAGCTATAAAAACAAATAACAACTCATCTACTTTTTTAGAAAACTCTTATTTTGTTATTCTTCCAGAATGAACTTTTAACCTCCAAGCTATGGCTCCAGCCCTGCTAAGAGGCAATACTAAACATGGATGGTCATTGAATTTCATCAAATGGCTTTAGAATACTGAATGAGTTTATGTTAAATAAGTTCTTCCATTTTTATGTTATTAGCTAATTACATTGTTAAATGTTTCACTCTTGAGTAGCTTTGCATACCATACATGTAAATGGATAAGACCAAACAGCTCCCCATAATGTGATTTCATGAACATTCATTCAGGAAAGTTTTATTGCTAGCATCTAGCTTTATTTTTGAATATTTAGGGAATGTGTTATCTAAGATTTCAGCTTTGGAATATCTTTAAAAAGTCATTGGGGGTCAATATATGATCAAAGCTGTTAAAGTTCTAGAAACTTCCAAAGTCTATCTTTGCATATATATTCGTATAGTAATATATTCATGTAGTCAAGGTTAATGATTATTTAAACTTATGCTGCTTTATTATAATTAGTGTAGTAGTTTCTTATGTTGCATAACAAATTACCACCAATGGGCATTATCCCAAACTTGATTCCAATCAACACAAATGTGTTGTGGCACAGATTCAAGGGGCCAATAATCCAGCCTGGTGTAGATGCTTCTCTGCTCAGGACCTCATGAGGCTGAGTTCAAGGTGCTGGCCACTATATCACCAACTGGAGGCTTGGACAGAGGATGATGAGTATGTGGGCACCCCAGGGTGCTAGCAGACTTCCTTTCCTTGTTGAAAGACAAAGGTTTCATTGTGTGGCCAGCAATTGGCTGTAGGTTGCTAGCAGCTGTCCTTTGGTTCTTACAATGCGACCCCCTCCACAGACCTTTTCAAACTGAAATCATTTACTTTAAGGGGATTTCAGTACACTTTAAGGGCTCACCTAATTAGCTATAGCCATTGGGAATAATTATCCTCTTATCAACTGAAAGTCAACTGATTTGGGGATCTTGCATCTGGGTGGCCCCCGTGCCTTCTAGTATAACTTAATCGCAGCATAGGCAAGCTCTCATTGTATTCACAAAGAAAATCTGGCTCATACTCAGGTGAAATATAGTGTGTATGTGCACTAGAGTGGGAAACACAGAGGCCATCCTAGAATTCTGCTTGCTCCTCTTTATCTATCTGGTATTTCCCAATTCTGGGGAAAGAATACTCAAAGCTTCCAAGATGGCGGCTGTGTAAAGTGCTTCTGGCTTCAGTGGAAAGTTTGGCTCTCTGTGTCAGTACTGTGTTGCCTGTGACACTGGTAAGCCCAGTGTTTCCTACATTTCTCCTTCCTCTGTCTCTCCTGTTAGGGTGCGTCCCAAGAGAGAGTCTTGCGACAGCTCCAGAGGTCAGGACTGAAACAGCATCTGTTTGTAGTCCACGTGCTGTCACTCATCAGATGGCTCACCTTGCTGGCATGAGGCCACATCCACACCTGCAGCCTCTCCACCTTGCCTGGCTCTTCCCTCAGCTCCTTCAACTCCCACACGAGGCGTGAACATATTGAACTCCACAACGAAGCCTCCTAGCTTCTGCAGGCCATCCGTGTCATCCAAGGTCAGAGGTCATTGGAACTGATGGATTTCAGTGTCAGTCTGTTCTCATAAACCCCCGATGACGATGGCAGGTTCCAGAGTACTCTTGATGTCCCTCTCTTGGTGACTGCCCACCATCTTCTCTTCCTGATCTTCTTAGGAACTTCAAGTTTCAGGTATGAAGCAATAAATCTGTCAGAGGCAGCCAAACAGCTCCTAGAACTGCACAAGGCTGATTCCTGAAATATATTTCCTCATATAGACACTTAGGTAGGCACACACACATGTCTCTGTGTATATATTATTTATTCAGATTATACATGGAGATATATATGGTGTAGATATATATGTGATTATACAACTGCTGTATGTAGTTTTGCTTCTCTGCACCCTAAGCTGTTTCTGTATGAATTTTCACCAGCATTACAGTTTCCCAGTAAGCTATGCTTTTTGTCAAAGTAAATTTTTCCCTTTGAACATTAAATGTTTTATGTCTTCTAATTTAAATAATAATCATCACTCCCATTTTTTTATTTGTTCACAAATTTTGCTTGCCCCTCAGTTTTCAATCTGTTGAATAAAAACTAGATCGACATTATATGTTTGTGGTCAGTCTTGTAGAGTTAATTATTATTTTACCAGGTCAAGGTCATTTGACAAGCATAGATGCATTTGGGATGTTCTATGCTCTCAGTGAATCTGTGCAGTAGGCTAAGTTTGAATAGAGGTAGGTACATGAGTTCTGGTAAGCAGATTAACCAGTATACAGTAAATAAGACCCTCTTGTTGCCATTTATAATTTACAGCTTTAATTGGTAAGGACAGGTTTGCACACACACACACACACACACACACACACACACACACACACACACGCACACGCACACATGCACACACAAACATTTTAGTAAATTCTTACCTTTCCATAATGATTCATGTTGTCAATGTAACAAGTCAACAGATCTTGAAAGTTAAGTGGCTTCTCAACATTACAGGAAAGGTTTTGTTCTTTTTAGTAAACAAAGTCAACCTTTGAAATGTCAATATTTATATGAATAATAAAAAACTATTAGGATTTATTTTTAAAACTTTTAATTTATGTACATGTGTGCATGTCAGTGTGTGGGTATGTGCACAGTCATGCAGGTTCCCATGGAGGTCAGCAGAGGGCATCAGATTTCCCTGTAGCTTGAGTTCCGGGTAGCTGGGAGCTGGGAGAGAACTCTGATCCTCGGCAAGGACAGCAAGTGCTCTTAAAAACCGAGTCATCTCTCTAGCCCCTTAGTTTTGAATTGAAAAGAAAAAACAATATTGAGTTGGGCTAAATGAGCCCCCACCCCCACTCAGAGTCACCTTGTAGATCATATCGCTTGAAAGGACAAATCTAAAAAACATTATTTTATACCTTTTCCTTTTGTAAAAAATCAGTGGTTCCCCATTATCTGTAAGGTAAAGACTAGAATCCCTACATCCATACTTAGGGTTTTCTGCTGGTATGGTCCCTAAAAGGTTCATTCACTGGGAACTTGGTCTCCAGTGCAGCAGGGCTGAGAGCTGGGTCTGGCATCCGGTTCATGGAAGAGCTTCCCTGATGAATGAACGGATCCATCTATGCACTTACTATGAATGAATCTATGACTGACTGAATGAATCTGTAGACTAATGGGCTATGGGGAGAGTGGCATGCCTGCTCTCTTTTATCATGCAAGCTACAGCCCCTCACCAGCAACCGTGAGCTAAATCCACCTCTTTCCTTTATATACTATCCATTCTCAGAGATTTTGTTAGAAGAGGAGAAAATGGGCCGAGACAGCCAACAAATATGAGTTCTCCATAATTGCCCAAATATGCTCCTCAATATTCTCAGCATGAAATTTTATTTCACTTGAGGGGACTCATGTGGATTTCACAACATGCCTTGCTCACTTCTACCTACAAGCTCCTGCCTGTGCTATATCTTTTCATCTAGAATGTTATTTTTGTTCTAGTCTTCCTGTCCAAACCCTGTTCACCTTGCCTTTTGATAACTAAAGCCATTTTCTTCCTTTTTAAAATTTGGTTATTTTTAAGTATGTCTCTCTGTGTGTTGGGATGTGTGTGCAGAGCCCATGGAGGACAAAAGAGAGGGTCTGATGCCCTGGAGCTAGAGGTACAGAGGGTTGGGAGCTTCCTGACATGGATGCTGAGACCCGAATCTTACTTGAGTTGAATTACTCATGTAGCCCTTAGGTCCAGCTTCTTATCTTCCCGTGTGTGCACATGTTCATACAGGCACTGTGTATAGTGTACTCAGGTCACAGTTCCTTCAAAACTAACAGTGCTGTTTCATATTTCTTGGTGTGGCCCAAAGGGCTCAAGTGAACCTGCACTCTATGGGTTCATGAACTTTAACCACAACTCTTTCACAGCAGGAGATACTTTGATAATAACTGGGACCCAAATCAGATTTGGGAGGGTTTCCCTCTACACACACACAGAGACCCTTTGATCATACTGTAAAATAGACGCAGTACTTTGGGGTGAGGAAGACTGGCAGACGTGGAGGTGGACCTTCCCCAGGCTGCAGCCATCTTTGACCTGCTGAGCTTCACCTCTGGGCTACAGTCTTGGTCTTGCTCCTTTGTCCTCGTCTGCTTACATCTCAGGCTGGGATCCCAGAAATTCAAATTGCTGGTGAAGAGTTCATCCTCTGCTTTCTTGTTTTTTTTCTCCTCATGATGGCCTCCTGGTGCTTGAAGTCCCCTCTGTCTTCTTCACCAGCAAGCAGATTCAAAGAGGACCTTACTTCCTGTTCAGGTCCCTCATGGTGGCAGTTGGGTCATACCCTGCTAAGAACAGTCTTATGGGAATAGATTCTCCTTTTGCTGGCGCACCATCCATGATTTCATACTTAGCGACTGTTTGTGTTGTGGTGCTGGGTCCAATTCCCATGATCTTTCTTGATCAGTTGCAACTCCACGTGTTGTGTTTTATCCTTACCAATAAGAAGCAAATTTTCTGATAATCACATCCTTTAAATGCTACTTTGACTTATTATATTCAAACTCTCTGTGCAGACAGTCTTCAACGCCCACTTCCATTTTAATAGGGTTGTTGACATCAGGATAGGTGGCAAGCTGGTGAACAAGAAGATCGTGCTCTTTCACTAAGTCTGTCGGCCTCCTCACAACCGTCACCTTAGGAAAATACCCCAGGCGGACATGGGCACAGATATGATGTATGATTCACACGGCTTTTCAACTTGCATAAATTCAAAATCCTAACTTCTGACCCGAGTCAGTTTTCTGGGTAAGTCTAGTTCTTTCACGAGGTTTACAGATTCATGAATATTCCTCTTGTCATTGAAAAGTTCAATTTGACCTACAGATTCAATTATAATTCCTTGATGCTCCAGCCTCTTTGCAGGCTGCTTAAAGACTAGGTTTACCTTTCCTGAAACAGTCTCCATTAAAGAGGAGACAGTGCTGTTCTCCTTGGCCATCTTCAATTCTCATGTCTGCCGTTTCCTGGCTTCCCCATCATTAAGGGCAACATCAGTCTCACAAATAGGACCAAAAAAAGCCTCCAAGAAAACTCATTGTTACCACAACCAGGTCCCCTATGTCACTCAGCTTTCCCTCAGGAGAACTCTCAGCCTTGGAAATGGTTTCTGGAGCCAACTCTTGATAAGATTTTGGTGTGAATGTGGCTTATGACAGGTGCTATGACAATCCCATTTTCCAGAGACTGTCTCTCTTCAAGATTGTCTCAGCTGTGGGATAGTCTGATGTAGCCTATTTTACTCAAGAACCCTGGCACAGGTGCATTTACAAGATCCCAGAAATAAGCTTTTAGATATTAGCTACACCATGAATTCAGCTGTGCCTGCTTGTAAAAGAGCCTCACAGTTGAGTCTTTGGACTATTGGTATTCCCTTCTAGCAGAGGGGCGTGAGGAGGGTCATGGGACCCTCATCTGAGTATCTGGCCTCTCCTCCCAATCAACTGTATGCAATTCTTTCCTAATTGTACAAAGCCCTGGTGTCTTGGGGAAAGGCTAGAGTGTACATGGGGAAGAGCAGAGGCAGATGTTTCCAGCTGTGCAACCATAGGGAAGCTGAGTCTCTCTTCTGGGGTCGCCCACACTTCTGTACGTAACCCCTCACCCATGCTTTGTAAGTAAGCCAACGAACTGACTGGTTCTCTAGAGTGGACTTTGGTGTGTTGGTTTGTCACTGTGACCTTAGGAGGAGGGGAGACATTGTTCAGATCTGCTCCAGGGAGGAATTTTGTCAGCAATATCCCATCCTTTCCTTGTCCTGTAGGCCCTCCTGCCTATACCTCTGGTCCGGAATTTAGGCACAAGATGAGGAATGGTGTCCCTTTGAGGCTGAATCCTAATTGGTCTTACAATAAAAACCTGGAGCCAGATATTGGGGTAAATGCTGAAAGATCAGAGGAAACAAGCCACAGCCACTTCTCACCTCGCCAACTCCTTAGCCGAAAGGGGAAGATCCTGTCTCCACAAATCCTCAGACTGAATGCTCCCGAGTCCTCAGCCAAAAGGGGGGTGAACTCCTATCTCCTCCCACCCAGCCATATCACTTCCTGTCTCAACCTTCCTAGTGCTGGGATTAAAGGCATGTGACTACCAAGTGTTGGGATTAAAGGTGTGAGCCATCACCACCTGGCTCTGTTTCTCTTTTAGACTGGATTAATCTCATGTAGTCCAGGGTGGCCTTGAACTCATAGTGATCTGCCTCTGCCTCCCAAGTGCTAGGATTAAAGGTGTGTGCCACCACTGCCTGGCCTCTATGGCTCACCGGTGATCTTCTGGGTATGTTAGCCCTCTGATCTTCAGGCAAGCTTTATTTGTTAGAGCATATACAAAATATCACCACAGATGAGAGATGGACATGCCTTTGAAAAGAGGCAAAAGACAGAACACTGGACATTTCTACAGAGCTGTGCCAAATATTCTGCATCAGGAATACCACCCCACTTTACTGTAAGTCCATAAACTATACATTAAAAAAAAGAACTATGGGTCTTTTCTCTATAGGAAAAACACAGGCCATCTCACAAGGAAATTATCTCATGGAAGACGAATTTATAAGTATTTTCTAAAAATAGCTCTTCATCAGTGGGGTAACAGCTCCATGGATAAAGTACACACAAGCATGAAGATATGAATTCAA